CACAGGCCAAAACTTTGAAGGAGAGAGGGAAAGACGATGTCTATGTTTATGTCTTGATCCATAACTATAGCTATATTGAGAGAGAGCGAGAGAGAGAAAGGGAGAGAGAGGAGAGAGACAGAGAGAGATAGGCAGAGAGACAAAGAGACAGAAACAGACAGTGAGCAAACATGCTCCTTCCTACTCTTTACGTGCAAGATTAAGTCTTTTTAATTTTTATTATAGAGACGTGGGTTACAAGTGAGGATGAACTACGTAAGAAAGCTGCACGCGGGTAAAGTTTAGGCTTCTAACTGGCCCTGCCCTCACTCTCCCGGTAGTGAACCAAGTTGCAAGATGAAGTCTTGCACTATTGATTAAAGAGGTGATGGTGGGACAGGCTGTGGAATGGTAAAATGGCCATTAAGAAGCCAAGCATGGCACTCAAAAAAGATGTCAAGTCATGTCTTGACATGGGTAACTTCAGTTTGTACATTTGCTTTCATTAATTTTAAAATTAGTGCAATAAAATGTAGAGCTTGATTTTTTTTCCAGTGGAGAATTTTTTTCTGGTGGGTTCAAAAGAAATAAAAATTCAACTCATAAGAGAGAAAAAGGTAAACATTTCTTTTAAAAAGAGGAAAACTCCCCTTCCATGTATGTATCTACAGATATATATTTTTCTTTACGTGCTCTTGGAGTAAGGACTACAAGTGTAAATATAGTTTACTTACGCTTAACACAAACTTCTGAACACATGATTAAGAAGTGTGTGGTTGTGATAGGACAATGATGGTTGCTGGAAAAAGTTCTGTTGTGTGTAGAAAAGAAAGACTTCAACACAAATAGTCTGTTTCACAATGGTTTCTTCAATGAATTCTATCCTTTTATAAAATAAAAAGCCACAGTTATATTATAGACCTTGGATTAAAATAAAAGCAAACCATGTTTTTTTTTGTTCAATAATAGTTTTATTTACTTATTTCACTGTTAAACTTGGGGATAATATTCACCACAAAATTGCAGGCATCATTTTATAGTACAGACGATTGACTTTTTTTCAGGAGAAGGAATGAAAATGGTTTGTGACACACCTGAAATGCCTACTTAGGAAGTGCTGGCCACGAGGTAATAAAAAAATGGTAAGATTCAGTGCCTTTGGCAAAGATGTGGACACTGTTTTAGATGCAAATATGATACATGCCCTTTGCTTACAAAGCAAATATACACCCATCTGTTTTTGGACAGTGGTTTCTCTATCCACCTGAGAGCATCTCAAAACAATTCATAGACATTTCCCCAAAAGCTTCCTATCAAGAAAAATCAGTGTGCTGATTCACCTATTTGGAAGCCCATTTTAATTATCCCTCAAACCTGCACCAAACCTGGTAAAGTTTCCCTTGTGTAAAAGAAAGAAGGACCTTGCTCAAAAGTGGCCTTCACACAGCTCTAAGCACAAGCCCAAAGGAAGTTTCTCTGAAGTGTGGTACACAGGAGGCTGACAGTGCCCATGAACTGGATGAAGAATGAATATAAGAGAGGGCACTTGTTTAATTGCTTGCAGAACAGGATAAAGGAGTCTCTCCTAACAACTTTCCACGCCAAGCAAAACTACATGCAAGGATGGTTTAAGCCAAACTACAGATCTTCACATGTACAAACAGAATACTATATTTATGAACTCTCCAGCTCCTCCTGATACTTTTCTTACTAGGGCAAGCAACAAGCCGAGTTTCTCTTTGTTGACCAAACTGGTAAGAAGTTTCTGAGTTCTAGGGATAAAAGCATTTCTTTTCCTTTTCCTTTTTGAACTCTAAATGTTTTATTCACTGCTTCAAATCTATTGAAAATATTTCTTCTTATTGCTCAGTGATATTTTATTAGATAACTATCACATTTAAGAGTTATTTTTCCTTTCCCAGCTAAATAGCTCCTGACTACAGTAGCAGCATGGGATATTGATGTACACAGAAATTTGATAAATATCTGTTATATTAATTAAAAAGGTTATTAAATATTTAACAACATATACTGAACACCTGCTATTTACTAAATACTGTGCTAGTCACAATGCAGAGAGGTGAATAAGACTCATTTTTCATCATCAAGAAACTGGTTAGCTTTTGGTTAAAAATAGTTTGGGGTTTGGTATGTAAATTACAGAACTGCTAAGTATTTTGTACTTCAAGAAAGAACAATAATCAACTTTTATATTCTGGAGATAGGCTTTTTAGTTTAAGGTAGGGTTATTGGATTGTAATTTCAGTGAAGGAAGTTTCCCTAAGGTTTCTTTGCAGTGGAGAGTATGGCTCATCTGACTTTTACATAGGATGTCTTACACAACTGAGAGGTAAACCTCTTTGGCTCTCTGGATTATTATTTGGGATGTTCTTAGCCTAGGTCAAAGTCCTCGGATCAGAACTCTGTGCCGAGTCTCTGTGGTTCTGCTAGAATGCCACAGGCTTAATGTTACGTATAGCAAAGCATTTGGATGTCTATATCCATCTCTCTCCAAGTGTGTTTGTCATCTCTGTGCGAAGCTGTGAATGTAATGTATACCTAACAATCCTAAAACTTGCTCATTTTGGTGCTCCCAAACAAAACATTGTGCAGCTATAAACTTAAGTATAGTCATTTTATGAACTTGGTCTTCTTTCTTCATTTCTGTTATCTTAACATGAGCCTCCTTTCTCAGTCAGAAAAACTAAAGGCAGAAAAAGAAATTGGAACTCTCCACTTCCAAAGAGCATGGGTTACCCTTCTCAAAAATGATCACTTAGGTGTGTAATAGTTATTTGCATAGCATGAATTCTGGGAGAGGCTGAAAATTTAGAGTCATGAGAACAAAAGAAAAGAGAATGTGACTTGAGTCTGTAGAAAGAAAGTAGTAAAATTGTCCTTGAACCTATTTTGGGCTAAAGTAATACTGTTTAAACAACTTAGTTGCACATTGCATTGAAGAAATATACTCTTTCAGAGGAAGTGGTAGCAGCAGGGTTGTTTAAGTCGAAGAGGAGATAACTTTTGAGTGTTGTTTTCTATACAGTTTCAGTCCTATTATGAAAAATACTATTGCAAAATCAAAACCAACATCTCCCTAGAACCTCTATTTGCAAGGTTGCCAGACCCTAGGAAACAGTGGTGGATTGGAATGGTATTTGAAACAACACAACTCAAGGCTCACCAACACATTTCAAGAGTTCCTTGGATTCTGTTGTGTTGTAATACAGTAAGCAAATAACTTCGTGAACATATACAGTCTGAAATTTTCAAGCATTCACTGGATATACTATTTTACATTTAGGGTAGTTATTTCAATTTTGACCTGTTTGCTATTATAAGGCAAATTATAGATGCTTCAATGTGTTGCTTAGCTTGAGCATGAGGAGAGAATGCAGAAAATTTAGGTTTTAAGGGATGGGGAAGGTCTGAGGACATGTAACTAGACAGTGGGCAGAGCTGAGCCAAGAACTCAGGGTTTCTTATCTTAAATTCAGTGCTTTTTTGACCATGTTGTGCTACCTTCACTTGTCCTCTGAAACTGCCAATGGCCGACTGCCTGATTTCTCAGTAATATGTCACCATCTTTGAATCATCTTTACTCAGATAAGTACAGGACACCCTGAATGGTCCCTGGGCTCCTGCTTTGTCTCACCATAGTCTGTATCCGACTTCTCCACTGTGCCACAACCTTGACATCCTTCTTCCCTCCTTCAGGCAGAGCCAAAACTGCTAACTTTGCAGCAGAGCTCCCTGCCTGCTGTTTCTCTCCCTTGATTCATAGAGGGTCTCCTGGTCTTCAGCTGAGCCATGAGCTCTGCCCATCTGCCACACAGTAAGTTTAACAAAGTTGATATGCTTTCTAGATCTTTAGACACCAGAGTGTCTAATGACTATGCTTGAAAAAAAATTGGTTTTTCTGACAGATTAAACATGAAGGAAAAATAGAAAAGGAACACATGTGGAGAGTCCAGGCTGAGCTTAAGAGACAAAGGGTGGTTAGGAATTAGGACTCCAGGAGAATGAGCATAGACATAGACTCCATGGCAGGGGGGTGGGGCAGAGAGCTGCGGGGTGGGGGAGGAAGGGGAGGGAGGGGGAGAAAAGAGAGAGTGAATATGAATCTCCATGTGTGGTGTATTTAAGGTTTGGTCATTTTCTTCTTTCAATTAAAGTGAATAATCTTGAAATCCCTGCAAACTTTCCTCATATGGCACGAAATAATGTGAATCTCAGCTTGGGGATAAAGACATTTTGATCTTATGTAAATGCTGACTACCTCTTCTAATGACAAGCCCTTTGAGAAATGATGTGTAACTAAGTTCCAGTTATAAACACTCATACATCCTCAATTACACTTCTAAATTCTTCATATTCAAAATAATCTATTTTTCTTGTTTTCCTTCTCTGAAAAACACCCAAGAGTTGGCCATACTTTTCTATAAACAGTCAGTGGATAGTTTTTTAAAAACAACTTTCATCCATAAGAGGCTTAAAAACAATTTTATAATAAAACCAGTAACAAAAAGGAGACCTAGAGTCTTGGATTTGTTTCTTTTTTTTTCCTTTTTTTTTTTTTGGCCCTTATTAGCATCATAAAAGGACATGGATCAGGAGATAATCATGTTTAAGCAGAACTCTAATTGACTCTCAAAGTTCTACCAAAGTTCAGGGTTTTTCCTTTTCTCAAATGTAATTTAATTCTAATTTTTTTTAATACAGGAAATAACCATTTTGGGAGGGAGGAAGGAGTTTCCGAAACAATGGAAATTACTGAAGTGCTGGGACTCTTGAATAAGCATTCACATATTTATTAGTGCCAGGCCAACTTGAGTAACAAAATATAGATGCAATTGCTTACTGGACATCTCACAGGTGGATAATATAACATTCTGTAGTTTACTATATATGTTAGTAAACAGTCTCTGTTTTTCTTGTTCTTTGGTTGAAATGTGGGCCAAAAAAAAAAAAAAAAATCATTCTTACAATTATGCTGAACTGCTTTTCTTTTTTACCATTTATAATATAATTTCAAACAAAATCATGGAGGGTTGCTATGTTCAGTTCCCCTCGGGTTTAACTAAAGAGTGGTTTTAAGGATTTGTGCTGAAGTGACAGTTGACTTTTTACTACCTAGAAAGAGCTAGGTACTTGCTGATGCCAACAGGATGACATTATTCTTCTTAGCCACGTGAAAGCTCAATATAGTCTAGTCATTGCTCAAGTGGACTTTAAAGAATCACTTTCAAAAGACACCACGGCTGAAGACTGAAGAGTAATATTTATCAACATTAAATAAACACTTGGTGAAGCAGCCATAAATATTTCTTATATAAAAATAACACGAAATTAAATAGTTCAGATACACAGACACCACTGAGTACACTTCCACTGTTGTCAAAGTCGTCTGTAAACACCACCTCACACGGAATACAAGAGCAGCTTCTACCCCAGCTCTGGGTTCACAACATGGATGCCCTGTACAAAGGGAAGATTTCTCCACAGCCCTCCCACCTCCCTCCCCTCCCTCTCCCCTCACATCCCCAGCAAAGGAAAAGAAGGAACCCTAACAACTACAGCAGCAACAACAAGGACAAGACAGTAGCACCCCACCCCACCCCAAAGAAAACACGTAACGGTTTTGGTCAATTTAAAGAATGATGCAAAATTATTCTTATTCTTTCCAAAAAGTAAGAAAATCAGTTCGAAGTGTTACTTCTCAAAGCATAAGTCTTTCTTCAGAGGACATGTGACTTCCTAAGCCCCACCTATTTTGGGGTGAAGTTTAGACAATGAACACCAGAAATCACTGCCACAGTGATGCAAGCCCTATTTTCCTTAGGAAGGTGCCAGGTAGCAAGAATCAAATACAACATTCTCCCTCATCCTCCCTCACAATGTTTCTTTTGCTTTGCCATATATATATTTATGTATATATATATGTACATGTATATTATATTGCTGTGTATGACATTCAAACGTGACACTATAATTGAGTTTCAAGCAGGTTAGATAGCAAAAATTTTGTTTTGAAACATTCAGATTTAGATGATTAAATTCAAACGTGTGGATGTGGTTCGCCTTTTGAGCTCGGAGGGGCCCCAATTTAGCTCTGTGGAGAGAGGTATCAACAAAGGAGACCGCTACACTCAGAGGCTAGTCAAGCCACCATGCCTGACAGACACAAGCCTGTAAACTCTGCACAGACCTACTGGGAAGGCCTGGCTGCTCTCTGCTAAATATTCTTCAAGGGTGACTTGTGGAAAACAGCCCCAGATTCAAAAACATTCAACTGGGCTTATTTCACTTTTAGGTTGTATTAGGATCCTAGAAACCTTCAGTTACCAAAGTACTGAAAGCATATATTGCAGGAATTGTTTGCCAGTTCTGTGTTTCCCATTATTTTATATACACTATGTGTGTGCGTGCAGAACTCACACATATATATATGTATATGCTTATGTATTTTTATTGGTACGAAACTTGAACTGCACAAAACAGTACTTTGCAAGAATCAAGAATCAAGTCCACAAATAGAGTTGAACAACACACCAGAGAGAAGACAGGAAGCTCTACTGGGACACGAAGATTCCGCTTTTGCAACATATGAAAGAATATCAGAACCACAGATTCGCTAGCCTGCTGTGTCTGTCGCCTGTGGGGTCTGGATCACGCTTTGGGGATCCTTGCGGAGAACGTGACAATGGGACTGGCTTCGCTCACCAGAGGTTTCAAAGCTGACGGGAATTAAAAAACCCAGGCAGATCAATTTGGGTGTATAATTGCTGTGAAGCAATCAATGTATATTCTTTTCCTCTTTAAGAAAAAAAAAATAACAAAGTCCATTTTGGAATAAATTTCTTTATACTCAGTAGTATGCTTTTTTGTTTTTGCTGAATTGGTATTTGACTTTTTATATTAAAATGGGTTTATTCAATGGATCAGTAAACAGCTTCTTTCACATCTGGCTGATAAGACCCTTTTTATGGTCACCAGAAATCACCCCCACCCTCAGCTTCCTCCTCCTAAGGTCTGTGGGTTGACGTGTGCGCTTTGTCACTACATTGATCAAACCTCAGCCTACAAGGCCTGCTCCGGCACACGCTTGTGAAAAATGACCGACTGTCTTTGCTGGTACTGCTGCTTGCGCCTCTTTTTTTTGTCACATTGGCACAGCAGCAGCATCTTGAAAGTGGTTCTGAATGTTTTGTTGCACAGGGCATAGCACACGGGGTTCACGGTGCTGTTGATGTAGCACAGCCAGTAGCCCAGATTCCAAAAGGCTTTGGGGATACAGCTGTCGCAAAAGGTGTTCACCAGAACCATGATGTTATACGGTGTCCAGGTGATAATGAAGGCAAGCAGGATGGCGCTGAGGGTCTGGGCCGCTTTCTTCTCCTTGACGAGGGACATCCTCTTCCGCTTAGTGATCTGACTTCTGGTCTTCAGAGCGAACCTCTTCGCCAGGGTGGCTTCCTTGAAGGACAGAGGTAGAGTGGCCGTGGTCTTACCCACCGAGGAGTTGACCTCAGAAGTCTTGGCGGTGTCCACGGCTGACTCTAGCTGGATGGGAAGCTTGGAGAAGCTTTTTGGAAAACTGCCCCCGTCGTCCACGCTCTTTTGGGCCTGCAGCTTATTGGCTTTCCTGTCCAAGTCCACCATCCCCAGCGCCTCCTCGGGTACCTGCAGGTTGTCGGAAGAGGGCAGCTTGGTGGAGTTAAGGATGGTACTGTGACCCGGGAGCTTGAGCACAATGGAGTAGATGGCTCTCGTCTCGGAAGCAATGTCCTCCTCGTCAGAGGAGGCGGAGTTCTCCAGGGAGGCAGCAGCGTCGTTGTTGTTCCAGCTGTCGCTGCTGCTGTGGTCTTGATCCACCTGCTCAGCGCTGCTGGGCTTCCAGCTCTTGGTTGTGAACCAGAAGTGGCAGCGGCCGTATTTCTTCCTGGTGGAGCGTTTCACGCTTTGCTGCTGAAGTTCATAACTGCTGCAGCTTCGAGAGCTGCCCGTGGGGTGGACAAAGTTTTCTGCTTCGGCCTCTGTCCCAGAGGCCTGCAGCCCAGCAAGCTCTTTGGTACGTTTTTCAGTTTCCTTATAGATCCTCCAGTATAAAATCGTCATGATGGTGACAGGCATATAAAAAGCAGCAATGGCCGTGCCAAAGGTAATGGTGGGCTCGCTGAGGAACTGAATGAAACACTCCCCTGGGGGCACAGTTCTCTTCCCAACAAAATACTGCCAGAATAAGATGGCGGGAGCCCAAAGGACAAAGGAGATGACCCAAGCCAGACCGATCATCACCCCGGCTCTTTTTGTTGTTCGTTTGGCTCGGTAGGTGAGAGGCCTCGTGATGGAAAAGTACCTGTCAAAGCTAATGACTAGAAGATTCATGACGGAGGCATTGCTGGCCACATAGTCAATGGCAAGCCAGAGGTCGCAAGCCAAGTTCCCCAAAGCCCATCGGTTCATGATGATGTAGGTCGTAAACAGATTCATCGAAATGACCCCGATAATCAGATCGGCACAGGCCAGGCTTAAGAGGAAGTAGTTGTTGACTGTCTTTAGCTGCTTGTTCACCTTAAAGGACACTATTACTAGGATGTTACCGATGATGGTCACCAACGCCAGGATGCCCGTTAAGAATGCAATGAAGACCACTTGCCAGATGGTATGACCTCCCAGAGGGTCATTGGTGGTACCATTTGGGTAGGAGAAATTCCCAGCTGCTCGCGAAACATTGTAGCTGCCAAAATGAGTGACTGTTCCTGGGGGCAGCCCTGCATCTGAGGGGCCATGTATCCAGGAAGAGCTGATGTTTGGAAACAAAGGCGAGGTTGTACTGTTATTGTGCAAGGTCATTGTGACTCTCTGACATAGTCTAGGAAAAAAAAAGAGACAAGGTGGAGTTAGGAAAATTCTGCCTTCATCTGTTTGTTCTTTGCATTATATACATTAAAAGGCACGGGGGCCTATCTAGGATGATGAATCTCTAAGGAGTCAAATATCATCAAGCTCATTTTCTTTTTTTCTTTTTTTTTGAGTCGGAGTCTCACTCTGTCACCCAGGCTGAACTGCAGTGACATGCTCCCAACCACCGCAGCCTCAACCTGTTGGGCTCTGATGATCCTTCCGCCTCAGCCTTCCGAGTAGCTGGAACTACAGGCATGTGCTACCACACCTGGTTAGTTTTTAATTTATTATAGAGACAGGTCTCACCAAATTGCCCGGACGGGTCTCGAACCCGCGGGCTCAGGTAATGCTCTCGCCTCGGCCTCCCAAAGTGCTGGGATTATAGGCTGAGCCACCGAACCTGGCCTAAGTTCATTTTCTTACTTTTTTTTTAAGTTGGGGTCTCACTCTGTTGCCCATGTTGGAGTACAGTGGCCATGATCACGACTTACCACATCCTCGACCTCCTGCGCTTCCTGAGTAGCAGGGACTACAGGTAGGCACAGCCAGGTTTGGATAATTTTTTTTTTTTTGGTAGAAATGAGGTCTATGTTGCCTAGGCTGGTCTTGAGCCCCTGTGCTCAAGCAATCCTCTGCCTTGGCCTTCCAAAGTGCTAGGATTATAGGCATGAGCCACTACGCTTGGCCTGTTTTCTTATTTTAAATGGGTAGAGTCTAGGGCAGACATAGATTGACTTGTTTGAGACAGTATAATTAGTGGCATGCATTGAACATTGTGCTTTTCCCCACATTTTTTACATTTCTAAATATACTCCATCTAATGCTGTTATTAAACAGAATCATTCTTACTTCTCCTGTTTTATAAAGGGGAAGATATTAGACACTTATATGGTATTTATCCAACATAGCTTTGTCATCATGCTACTTGATAAATTCACTTGATTTGTGTTTTCTCCATCTGGGCATCTACTTGTCCAAGGCTTCAGACACAAGCAACTTATAAAGTGATATCATCCATTCAAGCCTCACTGAAATGAGCAATGCCAACCTGGAGCAAGGGATAACAGGTGTAGATCAATCCATATTATATTGTCTGTTTCATACACAGATAGAAAAAGTAATGTACTGGTTCTTTAAAGCAACTGGTGACATGATTGTCTACAAGGCAATATCTTCTGCTTGATAACAGAAGATACTGCAGAATATTTATCAGAATGTTTTAAATGGATCATACCTGTTTTAAATGTTTTTAGTATATAGATGTTTTAACTCCAAAGATGAAGTATTTTAGCATGTCACATATACATGCATAAACACACATGTACACATGCCTGTATAGTTGCATATAAATTATTGCAGAAACTGCAACTGGTGCTTTCAAACACTTGATACCAAAGTACATAAGCAACTAAGAACCATTATAGTTAAGGTGTCACCAGTAATAACCCCCTGGTGTCCCTGACAGCTTTGGTTGTGACCTGTACCATCCTATCAGAATCTCCAGGGTTGTCCTCTAGGGCACTATTGGCTCGGGAATTCTCACATCACCAACCACTATGGACTAGATCATTATTCCTCAATGAGTATCATGCTATGAATTCAAAGTTTGACCATAATACCAAAAATCTATGAGTACACTTCTGTTGTGTTTATGCTTTTGGTTAAAAAATTCCTCAACTATAAACGGTTACCAATAAATATATATACACATGTGCATCACAAGAGTCCTAAATTAGACCCTGAGGCTTGCATGTCAGAGTAGTTAAGAGTATCTCTCAAAAGAATGCAGTCAGGTTCATACAGAGACTTCTGGGAAAACTTTCTGGTATAGCTGGAAAGACCATGGTGTCAAAAAGGCCTAGGTTCAAATCTCATTTTGACAACTTACTGGAGGTAGGATCTTCGATATTATAGTTTCAATTTCCTCATCAAAAAAGGAAAATGATAATTTTCTGTATAATGGAATGAATTGCTGCTGAATTTCTCCCAGAATTCAATGATAAGTGATCAAAGAAGTTTGGTTTCTCATTAAAATGCTTTACTATATCACATTCTTATAACAGGCACAGAGTAGCTACTATATAAGTAACTTATATAGTATATATAAGTTACTTATATAGTAGCTACTGGCACAGAGTAGCTACTATATAAGTAACTATAATAATTATTATTCTTTTTATTGAACAATGAACTCATTTTGCTTTGGCTGCCAGGATGCTAAGACCTAAATTCAGTGCAATAATAAATATTAGTAGAAAAACATTGGACATTTACTTCACAGTACACATTGTGTAAATGTATCATATGAATTATCTCATTTAATCCTTAAACAACCACATTTTACAGGAAAGGAAGACACAGAGAGTCAAATAATTTTTTCAATGATTTGAGCTAACAAATAAGGGTAGGAAGAGGTAGAAAGTCACATCCAGACAATCCGAGCCCCCAGCCTCCGTGTCTAACTGTGAGGTTACACTGGCCCTCCATCAGCTCATTACAGGCATCCTGTACAACTACCCCTTCTAACTAGTTAAAAAATCATCATACACCTCCTCAAGGTGGAGCTGATGTGCACTGGAAAATTAATGAGATACTCTTAATCACCAAAAAAATTGACAAAAATGCAAATGATTTGCATGCAAACATACAAATAAATTTATCCAGTGTTGACAGCAATGTGAGGAAAATAGTTTTCATTGTCTTGAGTTGTAGCATAAATTTGTGAACCAGGCCGGGCTTGGTGGCTCAGCCTGTAATCCCAGCACTTTGGGAGGCCAAGACGAGTAGATTTCCTGAGCTCGCGGGTTCGAGACCAGCTTGAACAACTTGGTAAAACCTCATCTCTATAATAAATAAAAACTTAGCTGGGAGTGGTAGTTCACGCCTGGTAGTTACAGCTCCTTGGAATGCTGAAGCGGAAGGATCACCGAAGCCCAGCAGGTCGATGCTGGTGTGGCCGTGAGCGTGCCACTGCACTCCAGCATGGGTGACAGAGTGAGACTCCAACTCAAAAAAAAAAAAAAAAAATCAGTGAACCATTTGAAAGGTGATTTGACACATCAGTCTAAAGTGCCCAAATCATAATCTCAGGAGCTGTCTGACTCAGTGTCTGTCTGTGTGTGTGTGTGTGTGTGTGTGTGTGTAGTATATATATAAGTAATACCTACATTGTTAGACAAAAACACTCACACATACACACACATATATAAACATACATATATTAACTTTAGTACTTTTTGAAATAATAAAATGTTGTTAACAGTCTAAATATTTTAATATAATACTTGATTATGTATGAATCTAAAATATTATAATAATCTAACACTATTTTCCCACAGATAAAATCTTCATTGCACCCATTTCTTTCTTTTTTTTGTTTTTGTTTTTTGAGTTGGAGTCTCACTGTCGCCCAGACTGGAGTGTAGTGGCACACACTCACGGTCACCCCAGCATCATCCTGCTGGGCTCCAGCGATCCTGCCACCTCAGCCTTCCAATCAGCCGGAACAACAGGGACGTGCCACCACACCCAGCTAGTTTTTTATTTATTGTAGAAACGAAATCTGGTCAAGTTGCCCAGGTGGGTCTCGAACCTGTGGACACAGGCAATCCACTCACCTTGGCCTCCCAAAGTGCTGGGATTACAGGCTAAGCCACCGAGCCCGGCCTATTGCACCCATTTCTTTCTTTTTTCTTTTTTGAGTTGGAGTCTCACTCTGTCACCCAGACTGGAGTGCAGTGGCACGCTCCTGGCCACCACAGCCTCGACCTGCTGGGCTCCGGCAACCCTTCCGCCTCGGCCTTTCCAGTAGCCAGAATTACAGGCATGCACTACCACGCCTGGCTGGTTTTTTGATTTATTGTAGAGATGAGGTCTCGCTGCCCAGGCGGGTCTCGAACCCACGGGCTCAGGCAATCCACTCACCTCAGCCTCCCAAAGGCGTGGGATTACAGGCTGAGCCACCGAGCCCGGCTGCACCCATTTCTAATGACAGAGAACTGATGGATTTTTTTCTCCTTCCCTTTTTTTCTTTGCTTCTTTGGGTTTTACTAGGTGGCAGTAACTCATCCTTTTCTCTAGCTCCCCCTCACTGAAGACTGTCTGTGTTTGGGAAGTGTGGCATGCTGTCTGGAGCACTTGATTACATTTATGGCTCCTTCCAAGATTCATCTATAGAAGACTCATCTGCTTGCTCTTCTTCCACCCAGATCCCACCTTATGACAGTTCTGAAGATGTTTGCCTGTTTGCTCTCCACTGACCCTGCCACCATGTAGATGACCAAGAACAGATGTGTACTTAGTCAATCAGACAGTTCAGGTCGATGCCCTATCTCTGATCATTAGTAGCAACTATCATTACTACTGGTCTACTGGGGAGTATAGCTGTCTCTTGAATGTCCTCTATCCCATATGCTGATTAGGGTTAGGGTTAGGGTTAGGGCATTCTGGTCCTCTTTATATGATCACCCTTATTCACGCATTTCTCATGTTCTAGCACCAGACCTATGCCTATTTCTTACATATGCCCTGAAGAACCTTTGTCTTGAAAGAACCATCTCTTTCACTCCCAAGATGTCTGGACATAGCAGCTAAGTTTCCTCGTCCACTGCTTGGGTGGTGTTACAGGCTTTTAAAAATCTTCCCTTTGCCACTCCAGCCCTTTGGGTCTCACAGAAACTTCTACAGCACCTTTAAAAACTCTTAGCCATTAAAACACTCTCTTAGTCTCTGTTTTCATGTCCCATGGGGATTGACTGGGTTCTGTAGCCTTGTTTTCAGGACTTATGCCATGCTGATTTTATGGTAAATAAATATAATGCCCAAGAACCCCAATACCTCATATTTGTACTTATGATACATCTATCATTATTATTATTATTATTTGCTTGTCACTGCCATGCAGTGAGTGTCTGTTATTTATTATTTGTCTTTCCTTCAGCCGTTCTTTTGGTAACAGCTTGTCACCCA